TTATAATCATACACGTACAAAAGAGACAAAATTATATCCATTCTCCCTTGATCATTCTCTCTACACACAAAAAATAATTATCTTGAGCACATGCCAGCTTTTATGCATATGGTGTCCTCACAAAAGCCAATCTTGAAATAATTCATTCCACAATGTCCCTAGCAACCCTATAGATTTGAAGAAAAAAACTATAAAAGCAACAATTTGTATGCCTGTATGAGGTCTTACTTACGAGTCACATCGGGTGCAGCGTCTCGCATCCCAAGGATGAATGGGGAAAAAAAGCCCAACTACAGAAAGAGTTACATCAGATCATCAGGCACATCGGCTTGTGCGTGACAATCTCAACCGAAGCAATAGGCCTAATCGGTCTGGCTGGGGCTGTAGCCCTGACATGAACCATCCAGCCCACTCCGGAGAGATATGACTGACTAGTCACTTCCCATTAGGAGTGTCTGCATGTCGTCTCCTCTGTAATCAAATTTACTAATGACTGGATGAGTGGATGAGTTGTAAGTGGGCAATGTTCAGAATCTTCTGTAGTTGGGGTAAAAGACGGCAGGCAGTGCGTTACATAATACTGTATTGTGATCAAACATTTTCAAGAGTGAAGGAAAGTGGACTCGGTGGAAATTTTGTAAATTATGTTATTTTAATTTAGTAGAGTGGGCATCAGCCATGAATTGTACTAACACAATTTGAGTTGATAATAGATAGAAAATTGTAAATTATCTTATTTTAATTTGGTAGAGTGGGCATCAGCCACGAATTGTACAGAACACAATTTGAGTTGATAATAGATAGAAAATTGTATTTGGAAAAAAAAACTGGATTTTTTCAAATTACAAATACTGCCCCCAATTACCATATTTAGTTAGTCCGCATTTTGTTTGCAACATGTATGAATGGGTACAAGCAAGCTAGACTGGTTCCCTGACCTTACAATTCCCAAACGTCTATTAACTTCTCCATTACATTTTACGGGGGGTCAGGGAACCAGACGGCAGGGAACATGATTGTGTTTCTTGGTTTTCTAGCATATACGAACACAAAATTTCAAAACTAACTTAAAATATTTTTTTAATGGATTCATATTTTCTTCTCATACATGTTCATGCAGCTTTCAAGAGTACCTTGTTTTGTTTATGTTTCAATTGTTTTCTTCTGTGACCTGCAGCCAAATTACATTTCATATAACATAAAACTGTTGAATTATTTCAATTTTTATTTTGCATAAAAAAGGTCAAAAGGAGAAGTGGTACCAGCAAATGTACTAAAAACATAAAAACATAACTTATTAACATTATGTACATTATATTACAATCCCATTACATTACATACATGGTCAGAAAAAAAAGCATTTAAAACAACAGCTTCATTTTTCAAGAATTGTTTTGGTGAGAAATGAGTACAGTTGCAAATGTACAGGGCGAGTCGAATAGAAAGTGACCGTATTAGAAAATTCAGCTGTCCACCACTGATCATTTACCGTTCTACGAGCTGATGAATACCCATGAAATACCATGAAACTTGGACGCTTTCCCACCTCCATGAATGAGAGATCTTGCACAGGAAACCAGATAAAAATCCACATCAATAGTTCAGTGGAAAATTGCAGGGGGAAATTTCAGGGGAAAAATGAGTTGACTTGTTCCTCATATTCAAAACACAAAAACTGAGAGTTAAAAATATTGTTTCAGTCTTGACTCAAATGATTAAAAGCTCATATTTGAATGCCTGTGTGTAATCTGTAATTCTCACTCAGCTCAATAGCTTCCAATGGCATTCCACGGACAGCTATAAAACTTGGTTCTTTTGGTAAACCAAATTTGATTGCTTTTTTTAAGAAGGAGAAAATCGTAAATCCAGGTCACTTTCTTTTCGACTCACCCTGTACATTCTGTGCTGATTTTTTTTTGTACACCATGTAAATTTAAAGTGGGTTGGATACATTCCAAGTAAACCTCCAACAGTTCCAATAAGAATGTACTGCCATTTCCCCTGGCGCTCAAACAGACAAATGTAATGCAAGAACTCAGGAAACTAATGGACAACCATCTCAATGAATGAAACAAAAATAGAGCAAAGCTGTTATCCATTTTGCCGACGGTGTTTGCCCAACAGATAGTGGAAAATGGTCCTGCACAATTTCTTTTAAAGTTACATTAATAAAGGAGGATGTCAGGCCTTGTTTGGAAATCGATGAGTAAAGTGCTATTTATTTTTACCTACGTGCCTTTTTTTTAACGGAGCGTGCGGCTTCTTCAGAGTCACCCTGCGCCAATTATCTCCGAGTAGAGTTTGGCCGGGCCCGACTTGACTGAGATAACAAGATGAAAAAGGTTTGACTTTATGCTCGGCTTTCCTTTATGTGGACAGTCCCGTTTGAAGGAAACCGCTTAAAGGGAACCAGCACACAGCCTCATGAAGTACTGCATAGCTGCCAACTTTTCAAAATCCAAATTAGTAATCAACCCGCGCGGTCATGTTCAACTGCGCGTACAGTAACAGTGTATGAACCAGCTTTACCAACGTCGAGTATAGGTACATGGTTTACATGTACACATACATGTGCATACCCTTCTTGTTGTGATTAATAATATACTGTAGGCCATAGGATAATTGAAAAAAAAAAATTTAAAAATTAAAAAAAAAAAAATATTTTTTTAAAATTAATTGTTACTGTCCATATTTGTTTGTTGAACTCAAATAAATATTAACAATAATAACATGTGCGCATATTTTTCTGAGATGCATGCTATATCGGTGTTGAGTTTCGAGTTTGTATGTTTTTACACACATTTGCCACTGTATGCAATAGAAGAAATATCCCGCCAACATACCTTGCAAACGCATGCTGATTTATCTTTTCTGAACGTTGTGATAAACTCTGTTTCTGTTCCACAAATGTACAAACACCTCCAACTCTATTACCAATTCTTCCAACCATACTCTTAAAATCCATGATCAAAAATCTCGCACTGATGTGCTCATGATCGTCACTGAACTCAGTACACACATACACAGTACATCCACCCAACATCGTCCCCAGGGTGTCGAGCAGTACGCGCCCACCTCTACCTGCTCTCTCACCCTGGTATTGGGTCATTTGCATGTGCAAGATTTTTGAACACGTATGCAAAATAGGAGTATAAGTCTGGTGCCTGCCTGTGCGTTACATTTGCGTTTGTTTTTGTATGCGGTGTCTGGGGTAAAAACAGAATCAATTCGTCGCAGCGCGAGCATGGCGTGAGTTACGAAAACATGATTTTATTTTAATAAAAATTAATTAATTTAATTATCACATTTCATATTAATATTAACAAACTGGAAAGGAAATTAATATTTTCGAGAAGGCGTGGACGAATGATCGCGAAAACACGTACTGCACGTTGTGAATAACAACACCAAGTACACGATATAAATCCATTTCTAGCCAATTGCGGTATCGAATCAGGATGCAGGAAGAAAGTTTCCTATCCAAGGTTTACTATTGGAAACAACGTTGGAAATAAAGTAAGCACTGGGGACGAGGTTGCATCCACCCATCCACGAGGTGCACACAAAATGACACACCATTGAAAAATATGTTTGGTCTGGTCCTCAAGTATTCCACTGCGCACACTGCATTGATGTCTATCAGGTGCTTGACCGCATTGCTTATTAGACTTGTCACCAGTCCATCCATTATCGTAACATTTTGCCAGAAGTTTTCGGGCAAAAACGATACTTTGCAAGTATTTTTTTTTTTCATTAGGAAGAAAATGGGAAATTCGTAAGTTTTTAGTGGCAATTCGTATTTTCGTAATTTAACAAAAAATTCGTAATAATTACAAAAAATTTGTAAGAGTTGGCAGCTATGGTACCGGTTACCTGGCCGCCGCAAATTTGAAAAGTGGGAGGGGGGAGGGAGTTGGGGGGGGGGGGGGGGGGGGGGGAGTTGTGGGGGGGGGGGGGGGGCGGGAGTGAGTTGTGGGGGGGAGGAGGGAGTGAGTTGTGGGGGGGGGGGGGAGGGAGTGAGTTGTGGGGGGGGGGAGGGAGTGAGTTGTGGGGGGGAGGAGGGAGTGAGTTGTGGGGGGAGGAGGGAGTGAGTTGTGGGGGGGGGGGGAGGGAGTGAGTTGTGGGGGGGGGGCGGGAGTGAGTTGTGGGGGGGAGGAGGGAGTGAGTTGTGGGGGGGGGGGGGAGGGAGTGGTTGTGGGGGGGGGGGCGGGAGTGAGTTGTGGGGGGGGGAGGGAGTGAGTTGTGGGGGGGGGGAGGGAGTGAGTTGTGGGGGGGGGGGGAGGGAGTGAGTTGTGGGGGGGGGGAGGGAGTGAGTTGTGGGGGGGGGGAGGGAGTGAGTTGTGGGGGGGGAGGAGGGAGTGAGTTGTGGGGGGGGGGGAGGGAGTGAGTTGTGGGGGGGGGGCGGGAGTGAGTTGTGGGGGGGAGGAGGGAGTGAGTTGTGGGGGGGGGGAGGGAGTGAGTGAGTGTGGGGGGGGGGGAGGGAGTGAGTTGGATATCATTTTTGACTTTTGAACGCCGATCACGATGTACACACATAGGCTCATACTCAACACAGACTAATTCAGTGACAGCCATTTTCTACGGTGGCAACAGGCTCGCACGAGTCACGCTCAGGTAGTACACACGCACTCAAGACTCCTTTGACCAATACGGTTACCAATATGAGCGCGCACATGCGGCACGCACGTGAGTGTGGCACCGCCTCAAAAATGGCTATAGCGGCCGTCTTTTAGGTTTTCAGTTCAAGGTTTTTCAGACAGTTGCTGCACTCTGTCCAAAGGCAGATCAACAACATGATAAAATGAATAAGAAAACTAGTAAAAGAGACATTTTCTCTTTTGTAATGGAGGGGGTGGGGAGTTAAACACTTCCCCTGCCCCTTTCCATAAATACAAGGGCCTGGGTGGTCCCCTCATACAGTGTAGATCCGTTTTGGAACCACACCAAATCATGGGCCATATCAAGCAAGACCAGCATTAGATACATGTAGTATTACTTACCGCTGACAGTTGGCGATCCTTCATCGTAAATCAAGGTGCTCCTCTTTCACTCCAAACATCTCAGCATATTTCAAGGCATCTTTGAGACCGAGCTAAGACGGGAATGCAGTATGTATGATTTCCAGCCCACTTTGTAAAAACCATCTGTTAATCCTAAAACAAGTACAACAAAACAAGAGGAAAAAAATACAGAATGTTACTGCCAAATATATGTATGTCAGAGGGGAGTTAAAGGGAATGTACATCATTGGCTTTTGCTGTAATTTTCAGAAATGAACTATTTGAGGGGTTAGTATAATAGATCAAATATTGTTACACTGACATTTTTGAAGTTTTGTGTTCGAAAATGCTGGAAAACCCAAGGGAAAAAAAATGTTCAAGTAGTCTGGTTCCCTGACTCCACTAAAGATGAAATGGATCAAAAATGCCAGAAAATTTTAAGGTAAGGGAACCAGTCTAGCTGGCCTGCACCGTACCTGTTCATGAACATGGACCCTATAGCAAACAAAATTTGGACTGAAAAAAAAACTGGTAAATTCGGAGCAGTAGTTGAAAAATAGTTAGTTAAGTTCTGTTTCAATTTCATTTTTAAAATGTAGTGCATGATGTATCATGCACTTTATGTAAAACAATGCTCTTGCCACTACCGGTACATGTACAGGTACGTTTGTTTATGGTGTAAATCAAGGATTTGCTATTTTATATCCTTTGTTTGTACATGTACTTAACTTTTTTTCAATTTTAAGCTCTCATTGGTTTTGTACACGTTAACCAAGGAGTCCTCGATTTGGTTCCTGTCCTCAATTCATCGATGATGTTGCACATGTGTGTCCTCGATTTACACCATGAACAGGCACACACTAGGCCTAGCACACCCTAGTGTGCTTCAATCCTGGACCCCCCATTGTCCCTCTTTTGTTTGTACTCTAACTTTTTAGGAAGGCCTCCCATATGTTCTTCCCCCCCCCCCCAAATTTCCCTCAAAAATTCAAATCCCTGCCCTGTAACTATTGCTGCATTCCAATCACCTCGTGTTTCTCATGTTCATGAGTCGTGAACTCGAGAAACAAATTGCACCTCCAGTTTACCACTGGTGAATATGAGTAATTCCAGGTGATAAGAATGCTATAATACGACTAGACCCGTAAACGTGGCATCAATAACAATGCACTCAATAACAGCTTGAACTTGGCGTTGTCATTGATGCCACGTTTTACGACTAGAAAAGAATCGGACTAGTGAACTCGTGAACACGAGAAACATGACGTATATAATACGCATGATAGGCCTACCTGCACAATGCATGCAGGGGCGGTACGTACTTGCACTTGTACGCATGCGCATACTATCGTTCCGCTTCTACACCATACCCCCCGCGGCGCGCTCCGAGCGATCGAACCGAAAATGACTGCGATCATTCTGCGCGCGTGCTCGTTTCAAGTGTTAGGTTGGCTCAGTGCGGAAAGGGCATATTTTTCATCATTTTTACCGAAAACAGACAGAATCCACCGATGTTTGTTGGGTGCACATAACGTGAGTATGTCATGAGGTATTGTACGGAGTTTAGGGGCAAACTGTGCAGCGGTTCTGTGGGAAACGGCTTGGTTGGGATGGACGTTTTTGTACTTAATTAGTGTTTTGTGCTGACAACAATTTTGCGGGGTTCTGGGTACAACTATAGAATGCAGGGCCACTTTACTCTACATCCGCGCCTCCGTACGGCTGCGTGGAGGCGTGGAACCGCAGTCGACCTACCTCTGAAAATCGATCGTGGAGTCGTGGAGCCGCAGAGAATTGCGCCCTCTATCGGTGCGCGTCTCTGCGACTCCGCGACTCCACCACTGAGAGACAGTGCCCCGTCGCCCTCCCCCCCCCCCTTCCTAATTTGCGCGCCCAATTAAAGCGACTCTGCGACTCCGCGCCTCCGCGACTCCAGACAGTGCCCCGTCGCCCTCCCCCCCCCTTCCTAATTGGCCCGCCCAATTAAAGTGACTCTGCGACTCCCCGACTCCGCGCCTCCGCGACTCCAGACAGTGCCCCGTCGCCCTCCCCCCCTTCCTAATTGGCCCGCCCAATTAAAGTGACTCTGCGACTCCCCGACTCCGCGCCTCCGCGACTCCAGACAGTGCCCTGTCGCCCTCCTCCCTTCCTAATTGGCCCGCCCATTTAAAATGGATATGGATGCTTCGTTCTCAAAAAGATTCCGCCGAGAATTGCGCCCTCTATCGGTGCGCGTCTCTGCGACTCCGCGACTCCGCGCCTCCGCCACTAGCACTGCGGCCACTCCAGTGCCCCGCGTCTCCGCGATTCTGCGACTTCAAGACTCCGCGCCTCCGCCGCTCCAGACAGTGCCTCCAACACATTTACAAGCACGTCCTCCCTTCCGATCCTTCATGAGAAGCTTTGAAGACAAGTGCAGTGCATACCTTCGCTGTACTTAGCACTTTTTTGCAGGTTTGCATATCTATTACTCCTATTCCATCCACGCCTCCAGGCAAAATAAAAAACCTTGCTTCGGCGTGGCCCTGCATTCTATAGTTGCTCCGGGTTCTGAACCTATGAGGCTCCACTACGTGGAGCCTCATAGTTCTAGGAGTAGTGTGTGATGACAACGCGCGCGCGCTGCAAGCGTTTATACCTGCGTAGATATGGAGGTTCGAGAATACATTTGTCCCAAAACAAGCCGCACCTTAGGTGCTAGTCCACACTTTCAAAGTTGTCACAGATACCAACAGAAGAAACAAATTATTAAAGTTCCGTTTATTGAGTAAACTCATACCTTCTTGACCGGTGTTTTCCGCAACCTTATCTCCCAGATACTCCGTAGTCTGTCAATGATCATTATGTCAACATATCTGGTGGCCACAAGGGAGGGCGCTATTTTTGTTCACCGTTAATAATTTCATTCACAGGTTTTGCTCAAGCGCCGCACGAGGGCGCTGCTTTTGTTCACCGTTTATTTCAGAAGTTGAGAATGATGACCGAAGTTTTATTCAATAGTCTTTTCCTCGAGTTATTGCATTCGATTTCGTGTTATGCATGCACGATTTCGTTGTAGTCTTTCTATTTCCGGTACAGGAATAATCAAGACATGTTCCTCATCCTTAAAAGTTTATTTTCTAGGTCCTTTTCTCATCGTGAATTCACAAAGAACATTCCAACAAATGGATGAAATTATATACATACTGGCAAAAAAGTCATCTGTCAATGAAAAAACCGTGAATTCTTTATCTCTTGCTAACTGCTTCGAACCAAATTCATGAAGTTAAACTTCAATTTCTTATGAAAAGGTTTAAATAATTTTTAACCCCGAGTTAAGTACCTTTTTTCGCAGCAAAGCAAAAGCGATGTTATATATATTTTAATGACTGGTGGAAAAAAAGAGGATTTAATTTAAGGGGATCGATGGGTCATTCTTCTTGATTGTTAAATAATTATTACTGGACAAAAAATACCAAATTTTAGGGAGTTCGTGAAAAAAATTCAACCAATATTGAAAATCTAGATTACAGACTTTATGGGATAAAATGACTGAATGACGTGTAACGAACCCAAGTTAATACTAGACCTGTGGGCCTGCTGTTGAAAATCTTGAAAACTAGTGGAAAGAAGGATATAATTCAGTGTTGGGGGTCAGAAGTCATATCACGGTAAAAAGCGTTTTAGAACCTATAGCACCAACTCTACCGTGGAAGACTGAGTTAAGATTTATTGAGACTATGAGGGACTGCTACTTGAGTCGACATGTGGAGGTTCCTACTAGGGTGGGGGATCGAACACCCCCAGCTTCTCTGTTAGATTTGGTGCTTTCTAGCAGTAAAGACTTGACTGCAATCGATGTCACAGCCCCTCGATCATGCTCGGATAAAGATTGAATGTCAGCTATTATCCAGATGAGGAAAATCAGATTCAGCTTTGATAAAGGCGACTATGAACAAATGAGGGAAATGTTAGACATTGATTAGGAAGCTGATTTTGAGGAATGCCCAGAAACGGTGGATCGTCAGTGGAACAAATTCACCAGTAGGTGCCGTGAAGCTGAAAGCAAGTGTATACCGAAGAAAATCATCCAAACAAATAAAAGGATCTTCACGATTCCTATAGATCGGAAAACACTGAGCAAAAATAAGAAAAAGAAACGACTGTGGACGAAATTTGTGGATTCAAAGTCTGGCGAAGTATATCAGGACTATTGCAGACTAAGAAACCAGATCAGGAAACTAACAAGAAAAGCGAAAAAAAACTTTACGAAAAGAATCTCGGCCAAGCAAGTTAAAACCAACCCCAAGAAGTTTTGGAGCTATGCAAGTGCTAACACCAGGCTTCGTTCCGGAATTCCTAACCTGTCAAAATCTGGTAATGAGAAAGCAGAGGACCTCACAGAAAACGACAAGGAAAAAGCAGAAGTTCTGGGTGACGGATTTCTTCTCGTCAGTGTTTACAAGGGAACCCGAAGAACATTGGGACTTACCAGAGTCAATTAAGGAGAGCGTGCTCAAAATTCTGAGCAACCTCAATTTCTCCATTCTCTATGATATATGTCTCCTGGACCTGATAAATTCCACCCAAGGGAATTATTTGAACTGCCAGATATAATTAGCAAACCACTGGCCGTTATTTTCCAAACATCACTACGGACAGGGGTATTGCCAGACGACTGGAAGAGGGCTAATTATAACAGCTATATTCGGAAGAAAGGGAGCAAGACAGTTGCATGCAGGGAACTACAGACCATTCTGCAAAGTACTTGAAACACTTATTAGAAACTCTCTGGTTGACTACATGAAAGGCAATCAACTATTCAGCACTTCGGCAATTTAATTGGCTTTATCAGCGGCAGATCCACAGTTTTGCAGCTGATCCTAGTACTGTTATCGACAAATGGACAGAAATCTTGGATATGGAGGTGCAGTTGAGTGTACTGTGACTTCATGAAAGCATTTGATAAAGTCCCGCATAGACGTCTACTAATCGATACATTGAAGTATGGTATTGGAGACCCCATTTACAATGGATTGGAGCATTCCTAAGTAGCAGAAAACAGAGGGTTGCTGTTAAGGGAAACTTCTCGGAGTGGCAAGATGTGCTCAGCGGAATACCCCATGCAAGGATCAGTACTGGGACCAATCCTGTTTGTTATCTACATCAACTCACTACCAGAGATGGCTCAGGACTCCGAAGTATACCTCTTTGCTGATGATACGAAGATTTTTTGAAGTATCTCATCCGAGGAGGACTGCGAAATCCAACATGACATAGACCGTATGGACTCACGACTCGCTACTGAAATTCCAACCTGACAAGTGTACTATGATGAGAATTGGGAAAACGAGAACGGGAATTAAACAATACGGGGTGGGGGGGGGGAGGATCGGCATCAACTAAACAGTAGCTTGAGTAACTCCAGCTGTCATGCTCATATTCATTCACATGCTACATACAGTGCCGGGGGACAGCGAGAAGAATCATGATGCGGTGGAGACGAGGATGACTTGTCACAATCATGGTCCTCTGCCTGCGGAAGCCGACGGCGGCAAGCAGCTACCTCATCCCGACCTACCGAATTAAGGGCGTGACTTGCATCACGTGTACCGGCCGGCTACTATTTATATAAGTTACAGAGAAGGGGCAGGAAAAAGCTGCGGAATGGTTCGTCGAGTTGTTGCTTTTACTGTAGGCCTTTAACTATTATGAATATCTGAAATAGACATTTCCACACGCAGTGCGCAAGTTAGCCAGTGCAGGCATAGGCGTCGCGAGGGGGGGGGGGGGCAAGGGGGCACTTGCCCCCCCCCCCCCGGAAAAGCCACACAAAAAAGAAGGGGGAAAAAAAAGAGAAAAAAGAAAAGAAAAAGAGGCGCGAAGTCATAGTGGTGTACATTTAATGGTGGGGGAGGGGGGCAAAATGTCCCTGCCCCCCTCTAAAACTGATAAATCGAGAATGTGTTGAGAAATACAGGCATTTTTTGGGCAAAAATATGTTGCCCCCCTCTAGAAAAAATCCTGGCGACGCCCATGAGTGCAGATAGATGAGGATAGGAGCGCCTGTCAGTATCACCCGTGACATGGTCACCGGACAGGTCACGTGCGAAACGCCGCTTGTTTATCACGTCACGGACGGAGACGGTGTAATGTTCGATCGACAGCAGGCAGGAGACGGCGCGGCGGCGACGGCGACGGCCTGATGTTTTTCTTTTACTTGGCCTTTTCAATGTAAACGTACACAGCCGTCTTTGACTTTTTTTGCGCGTGCAATGGCGTACGTGCATACATGCACAGTGTAGCCAAGCCAATAACATCTTATCCGATCTTTGATCATAGCGTGCCGTTGATAACTAGTCGCGGATTAGCGAAGCTGCGGATTGCAACTGCTTGGAACTGATGACATCGTACGTCAACGTATAGTCGCTATCATCAGTATCACTCCGAAGGGTTGCACTTGTGCCACTGCAGTGCACTGCTAGTGCTACCGGTCTATCTCCATGTTCTGAGTCAGTTGTCATTCCTCCATGCATGCCATGCATCGATTCAACAAATAATCGGCCGCTTGTATAAATCGGATGGTGTGTCGACAAGTCTGAACTGAAGCAAGGGAAGGCACTCAGCAGGATGGGTGCTGTCACGGGTAAATAATTTGCTGTGTTAAGTATTTCACCCTGTTAAAGTTTTATGTACTTGGTACTCGGTTAGTTTCCAGCTGGCTGTTGAAAGAATGTTGCAACCTGATGAAAAGACATGAATCTGGGCCTGAAAAACATTTCCAACTTTGCAATGAAATACCTTGAAAATTGTCTTGTGTTCTTTGTACACAACCGCTGAAGTGGGGTCTGGTCTGGAAACTAAATGTACATTCTTTCCGAATACTTCGGTAGCTCGATTGATGGAAAAAATATTGCAACCTGATGCTACTTCAGCTAGCAGTTGTGTACAAAGAACATGGAGAGTCAAGACAATTTTGTAAGTATTTCCTAACAAAATTGGAAATGTTTCTCAGTCCCAGATTCATGTATGTCTTATCATTTTTGCAATGACTGACCTTCATTAAGATGATAATATGAAAAAAAGTGGCGTCAAGTTGTAACTTTTTTTCCCGATTGATTCCACATTGCTTCTGGGTTTGAAACTGCTCCCGCACAGCTCAATGTTTTTGTTTTTAATTTTATAATTTTCTCCATTGTCATGTTTTCTGTTAATTACATTGTAAGTAGAATTTTCTCCTTCTTAATTCGTTAACCAATTTTATGCAGGTCTCCAAAAATGATAAAATGTACGTAGGTAGTTTGCTCAATAACCTAAAAGTTTGTTGCACTTCAAGTAGCAATCAGCTCAGCTGACTGACTGCACGATTCCTGTAAACAGGCAGACCTTGACCTTACACACAATGTACGTGCCTTGATACTGACTGTGCTAAATTTGATACTGGGTGACCTGAACCACACAATAATGCATTGTTGTTGAGCTTGCCATGTGTAGGCCCTACACGTATGCGTATTGCGAAAGAAAAGTTCGAAATATTCTCCACATATCTCTATAGCATGTATGAGAGATACAACACAGAGCTAAGCAATGAAGCTGAGCCAGTGATGCCAATAACAAACTTACATTAGGCCAAAAAAAAAAAGTCTCCGGTTTCTGGTATGGTGCTTGCCAAAAAAATGGTGCGGCGACGCGGCTTTTTTTTTTTTACCTGATTTTTTTGCTTCAAATGTCGGCTGATGACTGCAAATGGTGCCCGACTAAACTTAGTGCAAATATATGAGAGTCCAGAGAGGCCACATAAAGCTTATTCTCGACCATAACCTAATCTAAAAACACGTTAAAATTGTGCAGCAGCAGGATTCCAGTCAAACCAGTGAGTTTGGCGGTTTTGAGACATCATCTTTCATTAAAAAAAAAACTTTTTCAATTTGGCGACGCGCATGGCTACGGCGACGCGCGCGCATACCAGAAACCGGAGACTTTTTTTTTTGGCCTTACAAAAGAAAATTGTTAAAATGTATGAAGGCTATAGGCCTATATAAAGCAGACTTCATTAGTTGGTGGAGTTTGCTTGGTACATCTAATTCTGTTTTTACAAACAATAATGGTGTTCACCAACAAGAACCATTGAATTTGCAGTTTGTATTATAATGTATTTTTTGTCTTGGTTAATGTTAAAGTTTCAGTTGAGGCCTGTTTATTGTAGTTTTTGAAAAATAACATGCAGCATTCACACTAGTACTACAGTTGTTTCTGTACAAGTCATGAAAAGATATTACAATAGCTCTGAAAACAAAGACAGGTGTTTTGCAAAACACTACAAAAAAAAGAAAGTCCACACTCATTGGTAGGGTCATAGTTTTGAATCTGAGATGATGACGTTATTTATAGACTTATGTGGAATTGTGTTAGGCCAAAAAAAAAAAAACTCGGTCTCTGGTCAGTGCGCGCGTCGATTTTAATCATGCGCGTCAACCCTTTTTTTTCTTCAAATTAACACGGAAGCTACAACAGCGCCCTCTATTGCCGCGCCTCCTCAAATTTTTGTACCAAGGAGCACCAAGGAATGGGGAAATTGCACCAAGGCAAATGATAAAGGGCACCAAGGCAAATTATGGAGGACACTGAGGACACAAAAAAGCAAAATAGTACCCACCTTGTATACTACAATACAAGCTTGAAAAAAAAAAAAGCCACCAAAATAAAAATTTAAAAAAACGCGTCGCCGGATCAATTCCGGAACTTCAGTCTGACCAGAGACCGACTATTTTTTTTTTTTGGCCTTACTGTTAGCTACATTTTTATACCCCGTTCGCTACCAAAGACTGTAAATTTTAGCTAACTAAATTCACCAAAGGTCTATATAATTATAAATGACATCATCGTAAGATGAACAGACTCACAATTACATGTATGACCCTTTCAATAAGTGTCAACCTTTTTTGCGGCGATTACATTCTTGCTCCATGATCTGATAGGACTAATTTTTCTCCAATCTGTGATGCAAATTCATGAGAATACAAGGGTACGTTGTCCTTGCTTTGTGTGTTCAGCTTCTGATAAGGTGATTAAAAGCAAAGCTGCTGATCAGATATTGCATAAGAAGTCAACAGTGATTAGGGGACCTGTGTTTAAATCTGTATACAGGCAATAGTTACATTGGTGCGTATGGACGATTTCACTAAATGATGCGACGGGTCTTAAGTTACGATGAGTTTAGGGTTGCAGACCAGTAAATAAACTTCCATAGACCCCAATGGTAAATGCTCCCACTTCAGAAATTCGGGAAAAATGCTCACAACTCTCCAAGGCGTTGGAGACACACATCAAATTAAAGCTTATTTCATCATCTTTCATTTCCTTTTCAATTTTTGGGGGTCAACTGATGACTGTTAGGAAAAATTTCCATCCGAAGATGATCACCCCTAAAAATAGTCCTGAAGCCCATCGCCATTTTTGAAAAACGATGCCTACACTCCATTGCAAAATAGAGCGCTAGGGCCCCAATTTCATCCAAATTGAACGGAACTACAAGCTCTCAGTCCTGTGCACGGCTTCCACCTGTATTTTTTACAAACCCTCAAGTTCATGGCCCACAGCATGCTCAAATACTGAGGATTTTGAGTGCATGCAAATCCTGATTTGGCAGGCGTAGGCAATTTCGGACCGATTTACTGGTCTGCAACCTTAGTGATATCGGGTGCAGACCCATGTAGAAGTCGTGTTAGGTTCTTGCGAGTGAGAAAAGGGTTCCCAAAATCTCAGACCTGGGTCCAACACACTCAGTTTTTTTTATAGTTTTGAAAAGGCCTTTACATTTCAAAATTCCAAATATCCAGTGCATTTTGTTTTACCATGCTTCAAGACAAAGCCTTCTATAAAACCCTTTAAACCATGCTTATAATAAGCACAAGTCAGTTACAATACAGGCGTACACACCTTATTCACCAGGAGGCCATTTTCGATCCTGTTCCCTGAATCTGTTTTATATGTTGTAAACTGTTGAATGGGATGGTGCCAGACTACTTTATGATTGGTGTGCACTCCAAGTTTTTTTTTTACGCAGCTTTAATTTAAAAGCATTAGTATCTGTTTAATCACAAATTTTAAATTATTCATCAGAGCAGACCGGTATTAATTTGTAACAAACCTGTATTTCATTGCCTGGGTCATTTCTAGATACTCCCAAGTTCCAAAAATGAAATGGAAACAATGTTGCAACCTGACGCCACTTCCGCTATTGTGTACAAAGTCTATAGACGACAATTTTTAAAGTATTCTCTAACAAAATTGGAAATGTTTCTCAGTCCCAGATTCATGTCTTATCATCATTTTTGCAATGAATGACCTTCATAATTTAGATGATATCAGGAGAGAAAAAAGTGGCATCAGGTTGCAACACTTTTTCAAATGAAATTACCTCGCTTTCAGTTTAATATGGCCAACTTGTCTATTCAGGTCCTGAGTGTCAAAGAGTGTGAAAGAAATCTTCCTTTCTTTCTTTTTTTTTCCCATCAGATGAAAAATATTCCCATGGGAGTGGAAAAGACAACAATAACTACAGTGCACCGGGATCCAGTAACTGTAGTCGAGTGCTCATCAGGGGTGTGTTGGTGCTCATTCTTGGAGGTTTGTTTTTATCCTATACAACTCGGATGTTCGCTGGATCGAGCGCCGTCACTAAAAATGAACAGGCGCAATTTTGGAGGTACGTTTTAATGCCTATATGGGCTGTTTCAGGAGAAGGATATTTACGTTTGTTTTTTTACAAGTGTTGTCGTAGTCAAATCATATTGCGGTTAAAGGGAATATACAACATTTGCAAACATCGAAAAATAAAACTACCAAGTTTTTGCGAAATACCTTAATAGGATGTTGGTAAATGACAGTCTAAAGCATCCTGTAAAATTATGGCACCTGGTATACTGTCATTTTCAAGAAAAGTGGTATTTTTGTATCAATTTCCAACGCTGATCGGCCGATCAGCGTTGGAAACAACTGGCTTTTTTTCAAATACTGGCCCCAATTGACCATTGTACTTGTTTGCAATCGATTACAAACCTATGAACGAGTACGAGCCAGCTAGACTGGTTCCCTGACCTTACAATTCCCCAATGTATGTAAACTGCTCTGTTTCTTCTTATATGGAGTCAGGGAACCAGACTACAGGAAAATGATCGTTTTTCTTGGTTTTTATAGCATTTTCGAACCCAAAACCTCCAAAAAGTCAGTGTAACTATATTTGCTTTATATTTCCAACCCCCCAATTCCATCCATTTCTGAAAATTACAGCAAAAGCAAATGATGTATATTCCCTTTAAATAAAGAAATATTTCCTCAAATCCTTTTGTTTTGGAAATTTTTATTGGAAAATACAACATTTGCTTTTGATGTAACTTTCAGAAATGGATGGATTTGGGGGGTTTGTATTTTGTAGCAAAAACTGTTACACTGACTTGTTTGAGGTTTTGTGCTTGTACAATTAATGTAGATGCTGGAAAAACCAAGAAAAACAATCACGTTCCTGTAGTCTGGTTCCCTGAACCAGGCTCCACTGTAAATATCTCACTTTTTTGTTTTGAATCATCAGGGAGTAAATATAACGGAAAAGTACTGTTGAGTAGGTACGTACATATATGTATTTCATTTGGCGCGCCTCTTCTAGAACCTCGTGAATCAACCATGTAAAATGCACCAGTGTGTTTTGAACTGCATACCTTGTACATGGGTCATTCCACTGGATTGGGAAGCAGTGCATGTTACATCCATATATTTGGTTATATTATTAAAGGTATCAATGCATTCTAAACAATTACTCAACATAATATTTGTCTTAGGGTGTTTCAATACTTGAGAAAGTTTGAAATTATTTGAAAGTATTTTGACAAAAATACGAGCACAAATGTATTAATTCGGACGTTACATTGACACCGTGTAAATGTTACATCCAAAGTTTCTTTTTTTTTGCCATTTTTTACATGTATGTAAAATATTTCACAAACTGACATTGCATATTTACAACTGGACACCTAAGCACCAAGAAAAGCTTTTGTTTTGGTATAGTCGGGGTTCAAATATAGCAGAAACGATACCTCAAGTGTGGATGTAACAGTGTAAAAATCACTCAATGGAAGTGTGACATTTGGGTTTTACACCGTGTCAATGTTACATCCACACAACCAAGCTTTCATATCTGCTCCATTTAATACCTGACTTCCGTAACAAAAGCTTTTCTTATTGTGTTGCATCTATAGTAAGAAGTACGCAAACTGAATTTAGGTAATGTTTTGCAGAAATTTAAAAAAAGGTACAAATGTCATATTTGGACGTAACACTGACACGGTGTCAATGTTACGTCCAAAATGACATTTTTTGCTCATCTTTTTGGCAAAATACATTGAAATGATTTCAAACTTTTCTGCAGTAATGAAATGCACAACAACAAATATTATGTAGGGCAACTGCTAGCAAGGCATTCATGCTTTTCTTAATATGGTCATATGTCACACATTGTTCCCCAACCCGGTGGAATGACCCACATACATGTACATGTTGTATGTATGTGCACAAAAACTGCAGCAATGTACAATGCAAGTTAAATAGGTGGGTGGTCTATTAACCAAAAAAAATCTACTCTACCAAAAGGTGCTTGTCCCCTCTCGGGGAAAAATTAGAGATAACACATCTTGGGTTCTTCAGACCAAGTTTGACCTTGTCAAAGTTTTCTGAAATTGAAACAGAAACCTAGATGCAACATAATAATCAGTGTTTGTTCTGTGATTATCTTTTATTGGTTCAGTGTAAATAATAATTGTGAAACCACCCTTCCCTGAGGAGGGTGTAGAAATGTATTCAAACAGAACGAGGGCAAAGATTGTAGCTAACAAGCCAGCTCAGTTTCGAAAGGCTAGAGGATCAATTGATGGATCAATTGTGCATTGTTCACGTGCTGTGTGCCCAGGTTGAGGCTATAGCAAAGGAAAGGAATACAATTAGTACACAATAATTTAATTTTATGAAATGTCGCAGAAAATGTGCGTATGTTAAAGCATAGAAGGTACCGGTAATATACAACGTTTGCTTTTGCTGTAATTTTCAAAATGGACGGATGTGGGGGTTAGTATTTTATTGCATACAAATATTGAGTGGATCAGCGTGGAATGGGAGGAATATTATCACAAGGTAAAATCTGGACTTTTCCATTTCACGAGGCGAAGCCGAGCAGTAGCCGAGTGAACTGGAAAAGTCCAGATTTTACCGAGCAATAACATTCCTCCCATTTAACAATTTAAAGCCACTCAATATTTGTTTTATATAACTGACATAGATCCTTGTCATTTGCTATATTTGAACTTTTATTTCAATACAAATTGTTGAAAATGTTTTTCTCTCTTCTAAACTACCCCTTCACGAAAATGTTTGAACCCAACGCTGTAGCGCTGGCTCTTTGGAACAATACGCGCTACGCTCAACGCTGAACGTGTACACCAGCATGCATTTGCACACAAATACCGCGCCATGGAACAAGACTGATCCTGTTCAATAGTATTTCCCATTCCCCATGGGCGGATAGTACTTTTTGAGCCCCGGCGTGAATGGCAGTAATAACGAATGACACGTGATGTGAGTTCCACCAATCAAATGACAAGGATCTGTATGTCGGTTATATAACAAATATTATACACTGACCAAAGTTTTGTGATTATGGATGCTGGAAAAAAAGCAATAAAGCACTGTTCTTGTAGTCTGGTTCCCTAACTAGATTTGGTCAATTGGGGGCAATATCCAAAAAAAAAAACGTTTTTTTTTTTTTTTTTCAACAATAGTCGGCTAAGCTTTCATTGGAAATTGATACAAAGATTTCACTGTTCTTGAAAGTGACAGCACACCAGGTGCCATGATTTCACAGAATGCTTGAGACTATTATTCACTTGCAGTCAAGTAAGTTGTTTTATAGTTTGGTAGTTTTGTTTGTTGGTGTTTGTAAAAATATTGAATATATTACTTTGAAATTCCGCATTTTTTTAAAAAGTCCATTGCCTGCCTGACCATCTATGGAACATTTGGCCATGCAAATTCGTAGTCAAAATAACTGTGAGAATTTGAAAAGGCTTTTATCTGTCTCCCTTTCTCACTCTAGAGTGGACAGTCTCACACAGACAGAGATAGTTGTCAACACCCACAGACGCACTCAGCCAGAGGCAACCGGTCTGAACCGCAACAAAACTGTGCCATTGTCACAATCAGACAGTGTAGAAACTGATAAACAGAATGTTACACAGGGTACGGGGCCAGCGAGTGATGACATCATCAGGCCCATTACTATGGATAAACATAATGACAGCAGCATTAGCAGCAGCGGTCGAGGCAATGATGCAATCCAAACTATATTTTCAACCTTGAAGTTATCGTAAGTGTTACAGATCAGCTTGATTAAGTGGTCATTATTTGCCAATTCAACCATTTTTTTCAATAACCGTAGTTAATTTAATTAAACGTACCCCTTGTTCTTCAAAAATTGATTTTTTTTCTCCATTCTAATAATCTAAATTTCAATTAGAAATTTTTGTTTTAACGGGAAAAACCAACTTTATTCTTATTTCGGGCATCTGCAACCCCAGAAGAAAGGGCTTTCATTTTGCACACATATAAACAGACCCTGTGAGAGTCAAGTTATTGTCTGGCAGTCAATAATTTGAATTTTGGGAAGAAATAATTCAATAACTAAATGTGGATTGGATTTTTTTTTCTTCGATGTCTCATTCATAAGTGAATTGCTAAGAAAATAGCAATTGAAACAACAAGTCTATTTTTCAAAGTGAAAATCGAAAATATCACGACGAACACATCTTGAAGTCATAAATGTTAATTTCAGTCCAAATAGATAAAATTGTGAATTGTATTGCTTCAATTTTTATTTGTAGTAAGCCATAGACTTCTTTATGACACATTTCATATTCTTCTATATCAATATCAGGAACTTTAAGATTTGAGGTTGAAATCATCGTAAATTTTGTAAAAAAAGTCCCTGTGTCATATCAACAAAGTGGAGCAATGTTTGCACCACAATTTCAGTCACAGTTCACAAAAGTACTTCATGAAATTTGGGCAATCCGTTTACATTGACATGTTGTTATTGAAACAAAATCAGCATGAAGTGATATTTTTTGGGGAAAAAGAAGTTGTGTTTATGTTTCGTCTTCAGATATACGGACATCAAGCTTGAAGAGGATAACGGGATACCAACAGTGCAATTTCTTGACGTCAGTGAAGCGTTGAAACCATTACTAGGTACTGTGAAATATTCAGAAGTACTCTCAGAATAAAGTAATGAGATGCAAGCATAAAGAACTGATTGAATCTATCTCGGCTGTGTATAACTTGTTTCCCTGAGACAAATAAATACAACAAATTATTACAGACGAATAATTACAGCAAAAAGGCATTACTTGGCTCCATAACAAACAAGACAAAATAGTATGCTCTAAAATGTCTCTCAGTTCTTCAACGTTGAAGTGAATGATTGATGCAGCCAGATTTCAATAAACTTTTGCCTTCTGGCAGAATCGCTTGCTATAATGGCACAGAGCTTGTGCCAAGCTTTGCCGGTTTTGCCCTAGTTGTGTGACTTTCTATGGGATCTCCCTGCCATTTTACTTGTTTGCAGCAATGCTATTATTGCTGTAAAACAACGAACTGACCACTGCCCCCAAATAAAGACAATGCAAAATTTAGACCCTGCTAATAACATTTGGCAGGATAGCTCATTTGGTAGAGAGCCATTGAGTTTAATATTGCTTGTTTTTTTTTTTTTAATCCTGTTTCAGTTAGTTTTCTCTGTTCAACTCGCAGATGATTTGGTTTTTTTCCTCTACAGATGCAGTGGGTTCTTCTGTGAGTCTCATTGAAGGTGACATAGGAGGGAATGCCCAGGTAAGTTAACAACTGGCCACAGTGGGGAAAATGTTACCAAACAGCATCCAACAACCGAGTAGCATATGGAGAATTTGGCTGGGGGGGGGGGGGGGGTAAGCAGACTCTGCATGCTGGAATGCACCTAGGATTTTTGTTCTGGTCAGCTGGCCGTCGCAAATTAAAGAATGAAGGGGGGGGGGGCAGCCTGAGCACATCTGAATATTGTTCAAAGGAGACAATATTGGACAGCATTGGGCAATCAGTGGTGCTCTTCATTGATTCAAGTTAACAGAGCTGTGAAACTTTTCTGAGGGGGGGGGTATGGTACCATTGCCCCCCCCCCCCCTTCCAAATATGCTACTGCTGACACCCCTAAAAATGCAAAACATTTCCAGACATTGATTTTGACATTCTGTTAATTCCGCATACAACATATACATGTATATATCCCCTATCAGAATGTTTACTCTACTTATCTTGCAGAAACTTAGGAAGTGTTATGACGAGACCCCAACTCAGTGCCAAACCATTCAAGACATGTTGACCTATGACATCAAGATGGGCAGAGCGGACGAGGACGAGCGCTCGGTGGTATCCCTTACGTGGTTTAAAAGGTGAGGGAAGTGGATCAATTGAAGTAATTGTATTGTAACAAAATCCCTTAAAAGATTCAGCCACAAATAATTTATGGTGAATAAATAAAGATAAGCTACTCAAATTAACAACTGAAATCAATTGATTGTTGACTTCCTCAGTTGCCAAATACAAAACTTTACAGAACCAAAGTAAAACACAGGAACATCCCATATATAAAGTGGTCAGGGGCAGATCCAGGAATTTTGGGAGGGGGGGGGGGTGTCATTCCTGTCAGATTTTGCAGACAGGCAAACATAGGTAATGCAGCACATTGTTGCTGATGCACTTATTGTTATAATATTGTGTGCGTGTCAGAGCTGGAAGGGGGCGGTACAACCCCCAACACCCCCCTCTGGATCCGCACCTGGTGGTTTATCTGATATGAAGGGTGTGCAAACTTCACTGGCTGTTTGTCTAATGTTTTGGACAGATTAAATATTTTCCAGGACAGATGCAAGATAGGATAGCAAGGGGAAAAAGTTTATAACAAAAAAGTATGATCTGGTACTCAAACTCAAAGGATTTACCGCTTTTTTAATTTCAGAGCTTTTGAATTCATTAAGAAATTAATGGTCTACATAGCAAATGGAGCTGAGCCATATGACGCGGCTAGTAAGTATTTCATTTCAGTTGACTTGAAAACTAAGAACATATCCACATCGAGTAGAACAGTGGAACGTCGCTTTACCAAACATCGCTATACCAAACATCATCCTTGGATCCTGATTTTTGTGTACAAAACATGCCAAACATTGTTGCTGACAAATTTCAACAGAAGAGCGACAAGTGGCTATTATTTCCTTAACCCTAACCGCCCTGAATCATTAAAAATCCTCTTTCCCAAAGTGGAGGAATTTGGAGGATTGAAGTTACATGGCAAATGCGTTACTGATTTCGTAGGATGCACTTTGTCAAGGTCTTGGGCCAGACCTTGTGTTGTTTTTGCTAAGCAATGCATAAATATAGGCCTGGATTATGCTTGAAATCCTCCGTACTGCTCCAGGATGTCGCTGGCCAAGCCTCAACATATTGACAGTCACTGCCGCAGGATTTTGCAGGATTCAGGCAGTGGTCACCCCTCCACGGACAATGTTCAAGAAATAATGGAGGAATTTGCAGGATTGAGGCTATATGCTATTTTTCCATGAGACCAATTGGAGCATTTTGCAGGATTGAGGCTACATCCAAGCAAAAAGGCTTAGGGAGTTAGGGTTAAGGAATAGAAGGGAAACACCACCCGTTGCTGTAGGTAGTAAGCTCAATACTGTGTGATTACATAAATCAGTAGTCTGCATGTGTTCAAAGTCGTCTTTCAGTAACTACCAGGGCGTGCAGGGTGAAGTTATGAAGGGCGCTTTTTATTAAAAAGTGTGTACGTTAGCAACGGCAGCTTAAAATCGCTATACCGAACGATCAATTTCTGTGGATCCCGCGATGTTCTTTATAGCAGTGTTCCACTGTATCAGAAGTTCTCTTTTGTCCACAGTTTTGTTCATTCCACAAAACAGCACTCGGTTGTTTTGTAATTACAAGCGGGGAATTTAATCGCTTGTGATCACAGACCTGAAATGTCATGACCCACATCTGGAGCACTTGTCACAGTACGTGTAGTTGTTAAAAGCGTTCCTCCAAGTATAAAGCTAATAGACCATATGCATTGCAGGTACTTCACAGTGTTTTCTGTTGTTTTAAAGAGGTTGTGGAATGCGCGAAGACATTTCCATCATTTTTCGGGTACATGTAGCCTAAGGTGTGATGAAATTAAAACGACTATTGAGTCTGTCATGAAACGAGTACAAAAGAAACTTTTGAGAGCTGTTTTTCAGGTCCTGTTTCGACCCGAACATGCAATTTGTGTAAAGTCGTCGTTGGGGCAGCAAACAAAACATAGTAAATCGTGACGTAATAAACAGGACTCGTTTATACTACGCTGCATCGGGAGTCTTGTTTATTACGTCATGATTTACTATGTTTTGTTTGCTGCCCCCAACGACGACTTTTACACATATTGCACGTTCGGGTCGAAACAGGACCTGAAAAACGGCTCTCAAAAGTACCTTTTGTACTCATTTCATGACAGACACAATAGTCGTTTTTATTTCATCACACCTTAGGCTACATATACCCGAAAAATGACGGAAATGTGTTCGAGCATTCCACAACCTCTTTAATTTAGCGGCTGTGAATATATAAAAACAGTTTTTTTCCTGCCTATCCTCAGTGCATAAGGTCCATTCAGTTGATTTTGTGTGTGTGATTGGTCTTCAACATTTCGCCAATTTTTTTTCTGCTCCAGAAGCGGCATACGAGGAAGTGCTAAGCAAGCATCATGGCTTTGTGGTCAGGTTCTCTTTCAAGGTAAGTTAAAGATATAGTCCATCATTTGTAATTTGTGCATTTTGTTCGTTTGAAGCAACAAAAGTGTTCAAAAACTTATGAAGGATACTGAACAACTAACCTGATGAATTTTCAGCTCAGCTTCAGCTGTATATTCCGAGAAAAATAGCATTCTAGGATCTCAATTTCAAATCAAAAGTTGCTGAATCATGTTTTGAATTGTTTTGAATTGCAGCTATACGCGATGTTGCGCACTGATCTGACGAATTATAGAGGGTGCGCGCACGTGTGCGTCGTGCCAATGCTTGCGCGCGCTTTGCCGAATAACAAAATGAACTACTAATTTAAATTTCCTTCGGTGCGTCTCAAGAAGCACCGTTGGAAAGGCCTTCTTTCGTTGATTACTTCAAAATGACAGCTTGCCAGAAAAAAAATTGAGCAATACGCGCCAGAGAAAGCTGTGGAAAATCGGGAATTAACTTTTTTTTTTAATCACAAGTTTGACCGAAACGGTCTGAAACTTTCACATGGGATAATCGATATATCGAATACTCTCAATATTGGATTTCTGATATATCTATTATTGACAATTTTGATTACTGTGGGAAAACAGCTGTGCATATCCTCTATTGACTGGCAATCAGCAAACTTCTCCCCCTTCCCCCATCCCCTGTAAACTTTTTAAAAGAAATTTACGTTGAACTCTGAAAGTACGAGTGCAAGAATTTGACACCACCTAATGCATTTTGTTAATTCCTGAAATTGTCGCTAATCTTTTGGTGAATCGTTTTTAAACAGGGCGCTATGAACCTATTGCCATCTAGAGACAACTTCTTAAAGAAACTCGTCGTTAACGAGGCAGATCTTGCCAAGCCAAGCTGGAAAGCCGAGGTCACGGCCGACATGAAGCAATACTTCCTGGGCATGGAAAACATCCTGAGTATCCTGAGAGAATTTTTTAAGGAGCACAAATTGGAAAACTGAAACATTGCTGTCTATGGGAAAAATTTGCAGCAACCGCTGATCTCGATTGGCACCTTGGTACAATAGAACATCGCTACAACATACACCACCACACCTAAGTTTGGCTGTGTAAAAATCCTTGTTGGCCCAAAATTTCTGCACATTTTCAGGTCTTTATTCAGGCATTACGTTTTCTAAGAGCGCCTTTATGTTAATACTGTTAAACTGTTTCATGTTGCTATTTCAGTTTTTCCAGACGTGCCATTTAGTTCATATTATTGTTTGTTTCATTTGATATTTGCCATGGAATATCAAAAAACTGGTGCCATAAAATGTATATTTTGATGGATTTGGTGTATCCATGAAATTTTAAGCACAAGTTTAACCCTGACTTTCCATAAAGGTACAAATACTACTCGTAGTAAACTGCGGCAGTACTATCCTATATAAATATTGAATGCTTCGAGTGGTGTAGTAAAACTAGCCTCCCGAGGTGATCCATGGTTCGCCGAGGGAAAATAGAATGGTCCATGGATCACCGAGGGAGGCTAGTTTTACTTTACCACGAGATAAAGCATTCAATATTTGTTTTATAACACTTCACCCACATATTCTGCTTGATTTTAATATTTTAAATTATTTAAATCTGAACACAGTTGAAATAAACTTCAATTTCAATACAAAATTGGTGGAAAATGTATTTCTCTCTTCCAAACTACCCCTTCACGAAATGTATGAACCCAAGTCTGCGGCACGCTCTCTTTGGAACAATACGCGCTACGCGCAACGCGCACACCAGCATCCATTTGCACACAAATACTGCGCTGTGGAAATAGTACTTTGGTTGCTAATGGTACAGTACTTTGGTTGCTACGGGTATAGTACTTTTGACCGTGCACAGAATGATAGCAAAATTAGAAAGTAACATGTGACTCGCTCTCGGCCAATCAAGACACAGAATCTGTGGGTGAGGTGTTATAAAGCCTATTAGTGTATAGTAGTTGTAGCACTTTTTTAGCATTTGATACCATACCCCAAATAAACTATGTAGTACTTTGTGCGTGTAGTTCATGGCTGGTACAAAGACGAAGAGAATTTGTTGTAGCATATAGTGCTTCGCCCCAAATGAATTCCATTGGGGTTATCAGAAGTCCATAATGAAGTGATAGATCGATGAGTGATGGTCCCTGGAGTGGATCTGGGGCGAGATATTTTTCTGGCGAAAGTTCGTGTTCTATGCACGCGCGTGCGAAGTTGGTTTTGCACGTTTCTTTTCAACGACTGTTTCATCAAGCCATAAAAACAAACATGAAACAGCCATCAAATTGGTGGTTTTGATGAGTGTTGCTTAATTAGTGAAATTGGTCTTAGGATGACTCTTAGCTAAAATTGATCTTAGAGCAGGGACTCGTTTTAAGTCTAAAGATGAGTCGTAAGATAAGACAAGTTTTGTGAAATCGGTCCCTGGTCCCCAACGAGAAATCAATTCCTGTATACATGTAGTGTCAAAGGCCCATTTGAGGCTGGAAATGAAAAATTGCATAGTTATTTTCATTTGTGGTTCCTTATATGTAGTCTACCTACAGCTCACAAGCAGCTTACCATAACCAGAGAGTTATTTTCTTTTCGATTGGAAGAGAGGCTATTCAGTATTTTCCTTAAATGTGTTGTTTTTGTTTGGAATTTTTATACCTGGTTGCACTTTGGCAAGAAGATGTTTTCTGCTCTTGTGAACTTTTGTAATTTGCTCTCTTTCTATCGTGTTATTTTGTAAATTACTCGCTAAAATAATTTGAAAGTTCCGGCATCTATGTAATGCAAAGCCTTTTTTTTAAGTCTATTAACTTTGGAGTCGTGATCTTTGAGAAATTTGTACTTATGATAATCAACTGAAATCATTTATGCAAACCTAAATTTAACTGTATTTAATATTCAGTTTATGTTAATAATTTAATGTTGTCCTTTTCCTCCAAGAGACTGGATGGAAAGTGCAAAATTCATTTTAATATATTTTGGTTTATCTAGACATTAGAATGTAGACATTGTTAATCACAGATTCTATCATTTTCATCATACTGCATAACATGTTCATTTGCAGCTATCCAAGAGAACAGAGAAGAGCAAAAATTTTATAAAGAACGTATCTTTAGAAATATTCCTGTCTTTTTCTTCACAACTCAGGGTGTTCTAATATCTTGACATCTTATCTTAACAGGTGTCTTTTCTGGCAATATTTTCAACTTGTAATTTTCAGATTACAAGAATTCTACAGAACACGAGGTAAATCATTGCATTTTGTGCAATTTATGAAGGTTTCTGGCATCTTTTTTGTATGGATACCACAGTTATGTAGTCCTATACTGCGGTAGAATCAAGCATGAAATAGGATCAGGAAAATGCGAGGCGTTTTGGCAAAAATGAGACCGAACTGGGCACGGGCCATAGTGGAAAAAAATGTAAACCACCCATGAATGTGATCGAATTTTTTTCGGTCTTCAGATTATTGATACAATAATAATAATAATAGCGGAGTCTTATATAGCGCACGTATCTACCAACAATTAGGTACTAAAGGCGCTGGAAATTATGTCTGTTATTAAAGAAAGGTAAATAAAGTTTGTGAGAGATATGAGACCCATTATGTAGCACCTTTATAAGGGTTTACAAGGTGCTGCGGCGCATATTGCAGCCACTGCCAGAAACACCGGGGAAAACCCCTTCTCACTGGGTTCTATTAATGTGCATTACACAACACACGGAACCTACAGCTTTACGTCCCAACCGAAGGACAAAGCAATAATGGTAAAGTCACAAGCACCATGTTCCCATGGTCAGGATTCAAACCCATGTACCACGGCACATAAGTCGAACACCGTAACCATTGGACCACAGCACCTCATATATATTAATAGACTTTGATATGTCTACTACATATTTTAAAGAACCACAATAAAAACCGTGGAATGAAAGTGTGTTTAAGGAAAAACATTAGGCATCTTTGATATTCACCACTACAAAACAGTCGAACCTTTGGAGGCCTTTTCTCCCAGTATTTTACTTTTCTTGACGTGTCGAGACACGCAAACTTTAAATATCCATAACTTGTCAACAGGATGTCCGATAGGAGTGCAACGAACAGCAGCGTCAGGGGAATTTTATTCTCTTTCCTAATACCTGCAAACTCGGGGGTGTGAGTGACCACTGATAAAAATAGCTGAAAACAGCTGAAAAAGGTGTAAAAAAGCTGAACTTTGGAAATCTCCTATACTTTTGTACACAGCAAGTGATGGGAAAAAAACTGAAATTCAAAACAAAAAAAGCTGAAATCAGCTTTAAAGCTGAGATTTCACACCCCTGAAACTCTCATTTTGACCTCTGCCCAGTTGTGTGTCATTTTGCCAGCACGCCTCACATGCGTCCATGTCTTCACTGTTACATGTACGTCGACTCATTGTAGTCATTCTTGAATTAACCCTAACCCTTCTGGGTCTTTCAAAATCCACAAGGATATGTTTTAGGATATATGGTATTTGTTTTCTGCACAGTTTTGAAGGATTCAGGGTTTTCGGGAGACTTGTTTCCAGGAGCGTATGCCCTTACAGTTCAGTTATAACGGTACAGTTTTCAGTTAAGTAATGAATCAATGGAACAATTCTTATAACTTAGATCTGTTGTATTATACTGCCTATATGTATGCATTCATTTTGTCTTGTTTTAATGTTAATGGTGACATGCTGCAGTTTTAATGTCTGAACCCATTATCAACAACTTGATATGCCAAATAAAGAATTGTAAATGATTCGGAGCAGGAGATTTGAATTAATCAGTGTCATTTGTTTTGTATAACAAGCGAGTGGTTGAAGAAACTGGATGAGTTATTCGGAAACTAACTCAGATGGCATAGCCACATTGCACGATTGTTACATCAATGTTGGTTTGCACTTTTATGCATCTACTGAACTAGACCCATACTAGAGACATGGAAACCAGTGTTTGAAACATACTTCAATGTTCCGAATCAGCAACAAAATACGTTTATTGTCACACACATATTACCAATACAAACATTGGTGAAAGAAGTTCATGATTGTCTCCTATGACAGAACGCTGCCATAAATTTAAAATTAAAAAAAAAGACCAGAGGTGTAATGACATCATGCTTTAACCCCATGAGCTCGGGAAGCGGTCATGGCCGTGGCCGCTAATCCTCATTGGAATGCAGTTGCCAGCTGTGGTATGCCGTGGCTAGTGGGTAGTTCCACAGCTGCTGCTTTTGTGCAGTCCCGCTACCACACAAAGGCTGTGCAGTCATGCCGGCCACTTGCTCTATGTGTGGAGGAATGTCCCCATTATAACCCGTGCTTAAGGGGTTAACACTGTGCTTCCTTATGGAATCTAGGTAGGAATGTAAGGAGACGTTAACCAACTCCCTCCACGCCGCCTCTCCCACCCAATAAGAAACTACGCATTTAATCAAAGGACGACGTCCTTACGTCTCTGGGCTATTCTCTTTGGATAGCAAAAGAAAAACATTTATTTATTATAAGGCATATAAATACAGAGCATGTCTATGTTTTTTTGGTTCCAAATATACAGTTATTGTCATACTTGCATAAAATATACATAAATATACAATATTTATAAAATCTTGAAGGCAATACAAAATATTAAAACCTAAAAGTTACACTTGGCAGGACTCGATATAGCATTGTCAATCAATTGGGCGGAATCGGGCATTAGCCCTTTTTTGATATTATTTAAGTTTTGTAATACAACCAAGGATTCCTCAAAAGTGCCTCGGGCACTGTAGCTCACAAGCCTGAAGAAACCTGTGGAGAGAAGACAGTGGAAAATAATTGCAGTTTTAGAGGTGGGAGTAAAACCCCATGAGAAAATTCTGATCTGGTACTTTCTTTCATCGGTCAGAGTATTTCATCAAGTGAACACAATTCCGCAAGCTTCAAGCTAGTTCCTCAACTGTAACCATTTTAAATGGCAATACAACATTTTTGATACCAGACTAGAATCAGTGTGATTGTGATCCAAAATTTGCAAGGATAATTTATAGCAATCCTCAACTGTCTTTTAAGGCACGATCTAGCTGGCTTAACTTACTGCACATCAAGTACAAAAGTGGAAAAAAAGTGGTGACACTCTGCAAGATAGTTTTAATAGACTTTAGTGGCAGGAAAAATCCTACTACATCTTATGGAAAAAGAATGGCAAAAGTGCCAATCTAAATAGATTCAATTCAATTTAAATCAACCTTGCATTTATTTCCATACCAAATGAAGAATATAAGCAGAGAATACATGAACAAGTAAATGGAATTGTAAAAAAGGTGTAAGAAGCGAAAGTGTTAGTATGGAGGCATCTTCTAGAAGCCTAGGCTTGTGGCGAGATGCCTTGGACGGACTAACACAGAACAGAAACAAGAACAAGTACACTTGGACAGTTGGATCAAGACAGAACACCTAAGGCCCCCCCCAAAAAAGTCTTCGGTATCTGGTATGGAGCTTGCCCTAAAAGTGGT